AAAGAAAGAAAGAAAGAAAGAAAGAAAGAAAGAAAGAAAGAAAGAAAGAAAGAAAGAAAGAAAGAAAGAGGAAAGAAAGAAAGAAAGAAAGAAAAGAAGTAGAGAACAAGAAAGGAGCTAGAGAAGAAAGGAGAAGTAAGAAAGGAAGGAGAAAGAAAGATAAAGAAGAAAGGAGATAGAAAACAAGAAAGGAGATAGAGAACAAGAAAGGAGATAGAGAACAAGAAAGGAGACAGAGGAAAAAAGAAAGGAGATGAAGGAAGAAAGGAAGGAGAAAGAAAGGAAGCAGAAAGAGGAAAGAAAAAGAACAAAAGAGAAAGAAAGAAAAGAAAAGAAAAGAAAAGAAAAGAAAAGAAAAGAAAGAGAAAGAAAGAAAGAAAGAAAGAAAGAAAGAAAGAAAGAAAGAAAGAAAAGACTTTCTCTCTAAATGGTGGGGTTGTAATCCTGGAAGACCAATTACCTAATAACTACAAATATAAAGTTATGGTCTAATGTCAATTGCTTTGTATGTCTAGAGATACTGTCAAAGGCATCTTTTAAAGAAAGAAAAACTGTAGCTCAACTTAGCAGTAGTTGGTCCTGATAACTAAATCTGTTGTCAGATTTCAATTCTAGGAAAATAAAGTCAGAATTACTCCAAATATTAGTTACACCTAGAACTCTTAGCCCTGTTCTGTTTACAACATGGGGTGAGCAGAAGAATGGCCAGTGGCAAGCTGCAACAAGGCAACTCGGATTAATTGCCTTGCCTTCCATTTCATCATGAAATGGCCCCTTCTTTGATGACTTAGAATTACATTATGAAAGTTAAGCTGTCTTTAGGTTTTTCTCAGTGGCTGAATGTTCTTCACTTATCTGTCCTTCAGTTGGCAGAAATCTCTTCTCATCTTGAAATCTGCTTTCCTACAGTGTCAAATGCCTCACTTCCCAATCACTCGAGTCTCCTGATTTTCCTCTGAAGTCATAAGGGGTGAAAACTCAACAACATTTACAGGCCTTCAGGCTGTCCTTAGAGAGGGTTGGAAGAATAGGGAAATATCTTCAGAAATGCTGCTGAGCCTCATGGGCTAGGGAGTTAGGAGGAAGACAACATTGTATGGGCACAAAAGAAGTTCTCGGGAATATTTGCACAACTGCTACAGTCAAGAGAGCCAAGGCCCAACCCTCTTACCTCTGTAAAATTGAGGATGGCTGTAGGTGTGATCTTCAACAGGTTGTCCCATCTTTAACGACTGCTGATCTACAGGGATGTTCTCCAATTCTACACCCTGAGGAAGAGGAAACAAATAAGAATGATGCTCCAGTTGAGCTCATGCGTATCACACCCTCAAATGTCAGTGTCTTCTACATTTCCACAGATTTCCAAATATTTTATATTAAGAATACTCTTTCACGAATGAAGGTGAATATACGTCCCAGGATAATAGCATTCTAGTATCTTTCCGCTCTTGTTGTGGGTGCTCCAACTCTGGAGTTTTTAAAGAAGAGACCGGACTTGTCTGGAATGGTCTAGGGCAGGGGTCTTCAAACTTGACAACTTTAAGACTTGTGGACTTCAACTCCCAGAATTCCTCCTCTAGTCATGTTCGTTCAGGAATTCTGGGAGTTGAAGTCCACAAGTCTTAAACTTGCCAAGTTTGAAGACCCTTGGTGTAGGGCCTCCTACTTGGGTGGGGGGTTGGACTACCATGACCTACAAGGTCCCTTCCAACTTGATTATTCTGACCCATATATCTAACCCAATCTGGTTTGACCCAAGATTAAAAGCTGAAGTATAGCCTTCAAAATGCACACACACACACACACACACACACACACACACACACACACACACATTAAAGCTGTACGGGTACTTACCACCACAAAGACATGCTGGTTGAGATGTTTCAAAATAGCAGAGTTGCTGGCCAGCAATCCACTGGGAATCCCTGCTGGCAATATCACCGCGTCCAGTTTAGACACCTGTTCGTAGATCTCCAAACCCATGGTCCCCAGCCCTGATTGATAGATAGCACTATCATCTCTGCAGGCACAAGCAGAAAAACAAAGAGCAAATACCATAAAATTTACCTTCCCAATGTTAGCCACCTATTTCCTTAACCTACCTCCTTCTGCCTTTCTTCTTCGGTTGGCGTTCTCTGTACAGGTGAGGGCACTGATATGGTACGTCTCAAACCAAAACTTGTTGGGCCAAGGTACAGAGGGTTCTCCCATTAGAAAGGCAAATATAAAACAAAGGCAAACCCTACTCCCTCCTGATGATATTACCTATTTTGGTCATGAAACGTCTGTGAGGAAGAGAACGTCAAGGACCACATATTCAACCCACAAAGCTACAAATATTCTTTCCTATCAGAAAGGCTATTGACTGTGAACTCCCCCCCACTCCCTATATGTTGAAACAGTCTGGCTGGTTTTTTGATGTGGATCAGGACACAACACAGCTTTTAAAGATTTTACTCTTGTGACTCCTCCAAGCTCCACAGTCTGAAGAACTGTTCCATTTGATTTGTTGTTGCTGTTTTGACTCTTCAGTTGGGTCCTACTCTTGGCAACGTCATAGGCCAGTGCTCACCATGCTATCCCTGTCAAACACAGCTTCTTTCAGTTGTTGGATGTTTACCTTTGCATCAATTTGATGTTATCAAGCCAGCGTACTCTATCCTTGCCCCTTCTTGTTCCACTAACCATTCCTAGCCTTCTCCAATGAATTTGCACCCATGTCATGGCCAAAGTAAATAAGACCTTGTCTGTGTTTTTTGGTTTCTAATAATGTGTCTGGTTTTAACATTTTAATACCTTTTTGTCAGTTTCTCTGGCTGTCCATGGTATATTCCATGATTTACGCCAGCCCCACAGTTCAAAGGTGTCAATTCTTCTTCGATCAGCCCTTCTTAGTGTCTAACTCTCACACCCATACATCATTATAAGGAAGGCTATTGCTCTAACCTGCCTGCTTTATTTTTGTATTTATATCAATATCTCTGCTTTTCCAGATCTCATTCATGCTTTGCAGTGCGGCCTAAGGTTATCCTGCATTTGATTTCAGGAGCAGAACTGCCACGGTGAGCATATTTGGATCCAATTGTTCCATTTGATTAGGCTAAGGCAATTCTGCATCAGAGGTTCACAAGTTACCCAATTCAGGAGCATCACAGAAAAACTTAGTGACTATTAAGCAAGGTTGCAAGTTTTGTACAGATGCATGCAAAGTTTAACATTTTTCCCTCTCGCAAAATAGTTTGTTTGCTTTTCTAATTTTGGCTAATTGCTTCTATGGGCATAAGCCCAATACAAACCTCTCTCTCTCTCTTTTCTCTTTCTCTCTTTCTCCCCGCTATCCAAATAGCAAGCAAGAGAAAACTCAGCTATTTTTTTTTACACTTTCTGTCATTCCAGGAAGAGAGTTAAAAGCAGCTTGGCATAAAAGGTGGCCAGGAATTCAAAAGAAACAAGTTTAGTCCATTTTGCACATCAAGCTCAGCTACGTAATGCTTTCCACTCTGCAGAGCCAAAATCTGAAGCTTTAACCTCCATCTATGAAGACTTTGATCTTAGACCCTTTAGAAACAGCACCAAAATTCTTGGAAAAGATAGAGGCCTATGGCAAGGTGGCTGGTTTGAAAATTAACAAAGATAAAACAAAGATTTTGACAAAGAATATGCTATCAAGACAAAAAGAAGAATTGGCAGATCTATTGAAAATTCAAGTTACGAATAAGATCAAGTACTTGGGGATACACTTGACAGCAAGATGTAGTACATTAAAAGAGAACAATTATATTAAACTTAAACAGCAGATAGCACTAGACTTGGCGAAATGGGAAAATCTACAATTGTCATTAATAGGGAGAATTTCAACAATCAAGATGAATACTTGTTTCAAACAATACCAATTAGGCTTGGAAAGGACTATTTTGAAGATTTAAATAAAATTGTGTTGAAATATATATGGCAAGGCAAGAAAGCGAGAATAAAGTTAAGACTCTTGAAAGATGCTAGAATTAGAGGAGGATTTGGTTTGCCTAATTGGGAGTTGTACTACCAAGCTACAAACTTGATGTGGGTTAAGGAATGGATAACATTAAGAAATACTAGATTGTTGACATTAGAAGGACATGATTTGTTGTTGGGGATGCATACTTTTTTATGGTATAAGGGAACCAAAACACAGGGCTATTTTAGAAAACATCATATACGGGAGTCTCTGTGGTTAAATTGGGAGAAGATTAAAAGACAATGTTATTTGAAAATTCCAGTCTGGTTATCGACTATTGAAGCATTTTTCTATCCTATAATATACAAGAAGGAACAAACAGTTAGATATGGGGAAATTTTGAATGAAAAGGGTGAACTTAAATCTATGCAAAAATTAGAGGAACAAGGTATAAAGATGAATTGGTTTTCATATGCGCAAATACACTCAAGGTATGATAAAGATTTTAAAACAGAAGGTTTTTATGATAAATTGACCAACCTAGATAAGATTCTGACAGGTACCGATGAAAAGGTGATTAAAAAACTATATGGAAATCTATTAGAAACTAAACTAGAAGAAGAACAAGTTAAAGAAACTATGATTGCTTGGGGGAAGAATTGTGGATATGGGATTGATTTAGAGAAATGGCAAAAATTGTGGTCTCAAAATTATAAAATGACAATGTCAACAGCATTTAAAGAAAACTTGTATAAGATGTTTTACAGGTGGCATTTCCCCCCGACAAGAATAGCAAGAATGTTCAAGAATAAATCCCCAAAATGTTGGAAATGTCGTCAGATACCTGGCTCATATTACCATATGTGGTGGACTTGTGCGGATGCTAGAAAATACTGGGCTAAAATTCACATGTGGTTGGAAAAAATGACAAAAAAACATATAGATTTGAAACCGGAGATATTTTTATTGGGAATTTTACCTGATACATATAGCAAAGATTTGAAATATTTGATTGTAAATGTATTAACAGCGGCTAGGATTGTATTTGCTAAAAACTGGAAAAATGAGAAAATACCATCACAGGAGGAAATCATTAAGAAAATATTGGAATGTGCTGAAATGAGTAGATTGACATTTGAAATTAGAGAACAAGAGGATAAACAATTTTACAAAATTTGGGACCTTTTCTATCAATGGTTAGTTAATATAATATAATAATGGAATATGTAGAATTTTAGAAAATAATGAATATATAAAGATGTACTTTTTTTTCTTTTTATTATTATTATATCTATAAAATGTCTTTAGGATAGATTTGGGAGGATTATATGAATTGTTATAAAATAAACTAAGTAAATTATAGTTATCTCGCAAAGTATGAATGAACAAAATTATTGTCAAATGATTGATTAATAATGATACTAGGGTATTCAATTTTTGATTGATAATATGAGCTATTATGCAATGTAACTGTAATTGAGACTATGTAACTGTAATTGACACACAGAAAATTTGTAAACCAACCGACACACTGCTTGTATACTTATGGAAGAAAGTTGGATGTTTTTATGTTTTGTTTGTTTTTGTTTGTCTTTAAAAACCAATAAAATTTACAAATAATAATAATAATAATAAAAAGACTTTGATCTTAAACTGGTATTTTTTTTTTTTTTTAAAAAAGGTTCTACTGAAGAGATTATGAATAAATACTAGGAAGAAAGTTTAAAAGTCAGGATAAGGGGGGATCAGAGCTGGAACATGTAACAGACTATTTCCAAAACATTAATATCTCCTGTTTTAGTGTATTGAACTGGAGCAAGGTGGGAAACCTTCGAAGGCCCCTTTATGACTTGTGGACTTCAAGTCCCAGAATTCCTGAGCCGTCTGGTCAGTCCTGAGCCATGTTTACCTTCTGAGCCCAAAGTCACCTAGATGCTACAATCTGCAGGTAAGAATGAAAACTCGAGCTCTTCTGCTGTGCTCAAGGGTGGGTTTTGTGAACACCATCTACAACTGAGGTCTCCAAACAGAAGTGGGTATTCAGCAGGTTCAGACCAGTTGTCGAGAACCGGTAGTGGAAATTTTGAGTAGTTTGGAGAAGTGGCAAATGCCACCTCTGACTGGCCCTGCCCCTATCTATTCTCCGCCTCCCATTGAGTCCCAGCTAATCAGCTGGGTCTTCTTTGGTTGCCCTGCACAGAAGAACGGAGCTGGAAAGCAGGTTAGTGGGGTGGGGAGGGAATGGAGATTTTGCGGTATCCTTCCCCTGCCACACCCACCAAGCCACACCCACCAAGCCACGTCACCAAGTCATGCCACGACCACCAAGCCATGCCCACAGAACTGGTAGTAAAAATTCTTGAATCCCACCACTGTCTCCAAACTTGGCAATTTTAAGATTTGTGGACTTCAACTCCCAGAATTCTCCAGCCAGCTATTGGGAGTTGAAGTCCACAAGTCTTAAAGTTGCCAAGTTTGGGGACCCCTGATTTACAAGATAGCAACTTACTCTTCAAGGTAGAAGTAGTTGTTTTCTTGAGCCAGTCTCTTGGCATGCAGCTGCGAGTCTCTGATAGTAGAACCGTAGGAAATGACCATGGCACCGTACTCACGACATGTCTTCACTCTGGTTGGCGGAGTGCAAGTGGACATGATGACAAAGACAGGAATGTGCAGCTCTGAGGCATGATAGGCGACAGCCATAGAGAAGTTGCAGTCTGAGGCCACAATCACGCCATTTCTTTGCTGGTCCTGGAAAACATTTAGGACGTTAGTTAGAAGCAGGATACAAGCTCCCGCAATCTAACGTGTTACAACAATTTTTTGGGATCAGCAAAATAAGACTGCCAACAAACATGGTTTTAGAGCCATGGTGGCACAGTGGTTAGAATCTAGAATTGCAGGCTGACTCTGCCCACTGCCAGGAGTTCAATACTGACCAGCTCAAGGTTAATTCAGCCTTCTGTCAGGGTTCCAGCGATTGCCCTAATTGGACAATCATCCAAGGATGGACACCTTCCATCCTTCCAAGGTCGGTAAAATGAGGACCCAGATTGTTGGGAGAGGAGGACGGAAGCTGACTCTGTAAACCACTTAGAGAGGGCTGTAAAGCACTGTGAATTGGGATATAAGTCTAAGCGTTAAGGGCTATTTACATACAGATATTCCTCAATCAACCAGTTTTGGTGGCCGCAATATAAAAAAGATGTTAAGACTCTAGAAAGAGTCCAGAGAAGAGCAACCAAGATGATTAGGGGGCTGGAAACTAAAATATATAAAAAACGGTTGCTGGAATTGGGTCTGTCTAGTTTAATGAAAGGAAGGACTAGGGGAGACATGATAACAGTCTTCCAATATTTGAGGGTCTGCCACAAGGAAGAGGGAGTCAAGCTATTCTCCAAAGAACCAGAAGGCAGGACAAGAAACAAGGGATGGAAACTAATCAAGGAGAAAACCAACTTAGAACTATGGAGAAATTTCCTAACAGTGACAACAATTAACCAGTGGAACAGCTTGACTCGAGAAGTTGTGAATGCTCCATCACTGGACGTTTTTAAGAAGAGATTGGACAGCCATTTGACTGAAATGGTGTAGGGTTTCCTGTTTGAGCAAAGGGTTGGACTAGAAGGCCTCCAAGGCCCCTTCTCATTCTGCTATTCTGTTTTTTGAGTTCAGCAATAATATATAAATATATATATATAAAACTCTTCTTTAATATACTGTACTCCTTAGAGTTATAAGTAGTCTGTTCCCTAATTTTAATTTCCCTGCTTCATCATTTATATTACTTTCTGGGTTTCAGGTCTTCCAAGGGGAATGGTGGCTTGACAGCTTTGAAGCTCCCCCTCATAGGAACCACTGGGATTTTATTCCATGTACCAGGTAAATGAATAGAACACCAATTAATATTTCACTCAATGCAAAGGCTTTAGAGAAGGAGCAAGGTAAAAAAAAACACGCGACAGTGACTAATTGTCTGTTGATTTATGGAAACCCAGCTTCATATTCCAATTCAACCGCAACACTTATAACAGCAATTTATAACGGCAGGAAAAATTACCTCCTTGGGAAATGTTGTGAAAAGATAATTAGGGAAGTTGGAAGCCTATTATCTTTCAGACAAGTTTAGCTCACTTCTCACCGCTCTTTCAAATGTTAGCAGGTCATTCATTCACTCTGGTGCCTGTCTTTCACTTTTCTGATTTTCCTACCTCTCTTAGAGACATCAGAAGATAAAGGACCCCTCGCTCCTTCGCAGTTCCTGTATACTGAAGAAGTTCTTTCTTTAGATATATGTCCGTTCCGTATTGCTTTGAAAGCCTAGAATACTGAAAACAACGGGACATTGTTGAATAACTTCATTTACTCTTGCAAACACATACAGAGAGTTCTCGGCTTACAATCATTCATTTAGTGACCGTTCAAAGTTACAATGGCACCGAGAAAGGCGACTGATGACCATTTTTCACACTTACAACCACTGCAGCATCCTCGTGGTCATGTGTGATGACCCAAAGGGGCGTGGCACAAAAGCAACAAAGTCACAAAAGTAGGTAAAGTCCCTTGAATTCCTCCAACTTGGCCCCCAATGTCCAGTTATCATCGGCTGGAGACAAAACTCTCCCAAGAACCGTTTTTGAAGGGAAGAAATTCAGTCCGACCCCAAAGTACATATAGATTATAAATAAAAACCAACACAAACCATGCTGCAGCAATTAATGAGACCTTGGAGGTCTTCTAGTCCAACCCTCTGCTCAAGCAGGAAAGATACCATCTCAGATAGCTGGTTATCCAGTCTCTCCTTAAAAACCTCCAGTGAGGGAGCATCACAACTTCCGAAGACAAGTCCTTCCACTGGTTAATTGTTCTCACTGTTAGGAAGTTCCTCCTTATTTCCAGTTTGAATCTCTCCTTGATCAGTTTCCACCATGATTCCTTGTCTGGCCTACAGGGTCTTTAGAAAATAGCTTGACCCCCTCCTCTTCTCTGTGGCAGCCCCTCAAATATTGGAAGGCTGCTCTCCTGTCTCCCCTGGTCCTTCTCTTCCCTAGACTGGCCATGCCCAGTTCCTGCAACCGTTCTTCATATCTTTCATCCTCCAGTCCCCTCATCATCCTGGTTGCTTTTCTTTGCACTCTTTCTAGAGCCTCAACATCTTTTTTTATATTGTGGAGACCAAAATCTCTTTCAACGTCTCTTTCAAAGGACTTTATCTGTTGGCATCTGCAAGATGGAAAAGGTATCGCATGCACCATGATGGCATTCCCCAAGAGCTGGGAATAACTGTGTTGCTCACAGTTGGCTACTCAGGAGCAAATCCAATCCATGGGGTGTACAACAGATTTTGTAATCCCATCCATGGCTTGCAAATTGTGGGTGCTCCATCACTGGAGGCTTTTAAGAAGACACTGGACAGCCATTTGTCTGGAAAAGCCTAGTGTCTCCTGCTTGAGCAGGGGGTTGGACTAGAAGACCTCCAAGGTCCCTTCCTTTATCCTGTAATCCCGATTTTTAAAATGGCTCGGAACCTCACTTTGCATTGAAAAACAACCAAGAACTATACCGTGCAAGGGGTCTTCAGGACTCCATACTGGATCTTGACTGCTGCAGCGCTAATATCTTGAATTTTTTTGCAGGTCATGTAAACCGGTTTGCTAATGGCCATCTCTGGGCAGGTGGCCGAATCATTCAGTTTTCCCTCCTCTTGGCTAATTATCTTCATTTCCCATGTCTTCACTCCCCCGTTTAATTCCTCTTCCTCCCCAAAACCTTTCAGCCTCTCTGGGTGGATGGACGATCGCCTCTGGTCAGCCCGGCTGCTCCTTCTTTGCCGATCCTTATGCAAATATAATTCAGAGCTGGTAGATGCCGCTAGCTTTTGTGGTTTACTTTCACCACTCCTAAGGAAAGAGGGAATGAAATGGGTTATGAACGATTCACCGAGTTGAAAACCCAACCACGGGAGATAGGAGAACGTTATCTACTCAGGGCCTAGATTCTCACGCGTGTCCTTCATCCGTTCATTCATCCTGATGCACACATATATACGTGCTGGAAGCGAATTGGTTAGTTAGTCGGAAGTTGTGAGTAGATTTAACAGATCAAATTTAACAGTGATGCAATGATTCAACAACGATCTTGTCGAACTTCATTCTTGATAGCTACATGGCCATAGAAGGTTTCTAGGCAAGAATACCGAAAGCAGCAGAGGTGGCATTCAGCAGGTTCTGACCAGTTCTGGAGAACCGGTAGTGGAAATTTTGAGGAGTTCGGAGAACCGGCCAATCCCACCTCGGACTGGAGATTTTATGTATCCTTTCCCTGCCGTGCCCACCAAGTCACGCCCACAGAACCAGTCGTGAAAATATTTGAATCCCACCCACTGGTTCGCAGGGGTTCGGGAGAGCCCCTGGCTAAGATTCTGTGCAGTTCAGAGAACCCCCAAATCCCACCCCTGGCTGGCCACGCCCACCCCGCCCTGCCCCTCCCCTCCCAGGATGCAGGTAAGTGCAGGGTGCGCGCGGAGGCTTGGGGAGGGCTAAAAACGGGCCTCCCGGAAGTTTGGAAAGGCCAGAAATGGGCCCGTTTCTGGGTTCCAGAGAGCCTCCGGAGTCCAAGGAGGCCATTTTTGCCCTTCCGGAGGATCGAGGAAAGCCTCCGGAGCCCAGGAAGCACAAAAATGGCCCCACCACTGTGGTGCAGGAGGCTGACTAGGCCACGCCCACCGAGCACCCGGGCAGAGAACCCATTGCTGAAATTTTTGAAGCTCAGCCTTGATGGAAAGGTCTGACCCCTTCCTGGCCTCTTATCCAAGTAGAAACCAAGTTCAGCCAGGTAGGTTGTACAGACTGCCGTATACACTGCCCACATTTGTGTATTTATTGCTTCCCTTCCACTGCACTGAGTTAATATTTAATATATAGGATCAGAATCCTGTATTAAATCACCGAAGGCTAAGAGTGGGGTCCCGTGTCTTTATTAAAACATGCTCAACAGACTCCATTTGCAAGCAATTGCAAAAATCACAATTCTGCTTATTTTCTACATGCATCGGTTTTAAATGTTATATGGAACATTTTTAATTTTTTTAAAAAATTGTTAAGGTTTTACAAACACATACACACACACACACAAATACACATCGATGCGTGCTTGTTGTTCTAATTTTAGTGGGTTTAATAAGACAAGCGATGGGATTTTAAAACCTACTTTTTTGCAAATAACATCTTTCCAGAGCTGGAGACAAAAACGGAGAAAAGCCATTATATAAAAAGTTTTATATAAAAATAATAACAACAGCAAAAGAATAATAAAACAAAACAGAGGAAACCAAACTGTTTTATTCCACAAAACTGAATTAGCAGCTATTCATCTTCTCCTGGTATAAATCGAACAAAATCTAAAGATGTTTTCACATGAGAGTATTTTCAATGTACAACCACAATGAGGCCAACATTTCTGTGGTTAAAGGGAGACATTTGTTAAGTGAATTATGTCCCATTTTACGACTTTCCTTGCCTCAGTTCTTGAGTGAATCATTGCAGCTGATGTTAGTAACCTGGTTGTTAGGGGAATCTGGCTTCCCTGCTGACTTCGCTTGTCAGAAGGTTGCAAAAGGGGATCAGGTGACCTTGGGATACTGCAACCAACATAAGTACATGTCAGTTGCCAAGCCTCTGAATTTTGATCACGTGACCACGGGGATGCTGGAAAGGTCGCAACTGTGAAAAACGGTCCTAAGTCATTTTTTTTCTAGGGCCGTTGTAACTTTGAACGGTCACTAAACAAATTATTGTCAGTCAAGGATAACCTGTGTTTATTTATTCCTTACTAGCTCAATACCTATGCTTCGCTATGTGGTCGGGCTTAGTTTTTGGGGAGGAAAATAAGGGGGAAAAATAGTTGTCTCTGCCTACCAGCATCCATCAGTATTCATCTGGCTAGCATGCTGTCAGTGTGTGAGAGAGTTGGGGGCTGTTTGGAAACTGAAACAGTATTTGCTTTGTGAGTAAGAAGGAGACAGCAAGGAGCCTTAGCTCAACTGTTCTGTACTAAAGGTGCTTGGTGCTGTGAAACTGAAACTGAAACTCCTCTGCTTGTGTTTTGCATTTGGAAGAGATTTCTTTTCAGCTGGGGAGGGGGAGTAGAACTCCTTAGCATCAGAGCATGTTAATAATAATAATAATATATAAATACTAATGCTTTGATGGTCATTTCAAAAAATCCTTTCTTAGTGAGCACCTAGAAGCCAAGAGGAACCTACGTGCCAAATTTCAAGTCTGTAGGCTTTATGGTTCTAGAGATTTTGTGATGATGTGTGAGGGGTATTTCGCTTTTGTCTATATAGGTAAAAAACAGGAAATGTTTTTAAAAAGCCAGGTCCAGTCCCTACGCAGTGTTTAATATTAAATATTTAAATAAAGCAGCAATTCCTCAGAAGATTTTCATATCAGATTTCTCCCCAAATCCCGATGATTTTCTGGATTGAACAGCAGCTCCTCTTTGCACCAGGAACTTGGACACTGTTGTGTGTTGCTGAATGGGATTTGGCAGTTCTACACATAATCAAATTGTACCTTTTCTCATGCACAAATTGTGTGCCCGTACTATAAACATACACCATTTAGACAGGATCCAATATGTAATTGGACAGGCAATTTTTCCATCTGTCATTATAATAGATGGATGAATGATTAATTGCCTTTGAGAAAAAAATAATGTCATTATCTACCTTTCCTTTCTATAATCAAATAATGGTAAAAGCTATTTTTTTTTAAAAAGTAAATAATTGGATAATGAAGAATTCCTAGGGCAGTTAATACATTATTCTTTTATGTTATTTTACTAATTTTGCTAATGCTTTCCAGAGCTTCTCCGGCTTTAAGCAAAACGTACTTCTTGGCTGGCTCAGCTCATTTATTGCTTTCAGTCTTGATATTTTAAAAATATTTCTATATGAAATTAGGTCGTAATTATTCTTGTTTTGTATGAGCTGTGATGAGATGTAATGTTTGCTGCTATTTAAAAATTGTTTTCTTAATTAGTTTCTGATTGTAGTTACTTTTTAAGGAACAGTGTTGTTTTATAATGTTATCAGAACTGTAGCATTGCTAGATGCTAAAAGTAGAGAAGGTATAAATGCACTTTATAATGTGAGAAAGGATTAGAATTAGTCAGTCTGTAAGTCTCCAGCAAGCTCCCCTTGCTGAGTATAACTTGTTTATGATTTCTCTTCTAGAAACATAAACACTAAACCACAACTTTGGTGCTATCATACAATTAGCTTTGAAATCAGTCCAGAATCAGCTGTCCAAATAAAAGACATTGTATGACATTCATACAGAACATGAAGGAATTCAGATAAAACATAGAGGCCATAAAATGGCTTCTTGATTTCATTTTGTTTTTTGCAGCAAGAAGTTAGAAGATAAAAATCCTAGAAACTAAGAGGAAAATGACAAAAAAAGGGAAAAATCTACAGCATTAAATGAACAACAAATCTATCCACTAATCCCTGGGAAACTGCCATATAACTATTAATATCTTTGGAAAGAGAGAAGGAGGGAGGGAGGGAGGGAGAGGGAGAGAGGAGAAAGAAAGAGGAGAAAAAGAAAGAAAAGGGATAGAGAGAAAGGAAGAAAGAGAGAGAGAAAGGAAGGAAGGAAGGAAGGAAGGAAGGAAGAAAGAAGAGAAAAAGTAAGTAAGAAAAGTGATAGAGAAAAAGGAAGAAAAGGGAAAGAAAGAGAAAGGAAGGAAGGAGAGAAAAAGAAAGTAAGAAAAGTGAAAGAAAAAGGAAAGGAGATAGAGAAAAAGGAAGAAAAGGGAAAGAAAGAAAGAGAGAGAGAAAGGAAGAAAGAAAGAAAGAAAGAAACAAAGAAAGAAGAAAGAAAGAAAGAAAGAAAGAAAGAAAGAAAGAAAGAAAGAAAGAAAGAAAGAAAGAAAGAAAGAAGAGATAGATGGTAGGAAGGAATTAAGGAATTAAGGAAGGGAGATGTCCATTATTTGCAATATTCATGCTATCTACAGTTTCGCAGAAATGAGAGGGAAGAGAGAGAGAGAGAGAGAGAGAGAGACCATCAGATTGTCATGATTACCTATAAAGCACAGCAACGAAATAAACGAAGAAGCGAACTAGCACTCCAACTATGGCACTATAAGAGGGCAGGTGGGTTCCACGGGAGGTAAGAGCCCCTGATTTGGCCGCAGGTACAAAGGTGGGACCGTCCATAATTTTTAAAGGAGAAAATGCAACACTCTAAGTTCTACATCACAGGGGCAACGTAGTCCAACCTTTGCCAGAATGGGTCGTATTCTTTTTCTTCTTCACTGTCTTCCCGGGATAATCCATTTTTTAAACCTGTGGAGTAGAAGAGTTGCGCGGCAAAATTCATAGCCACCTCTTGGTTTTATCCCGAAAACGACAGGATTCCCCCAGGGATGGATTAAAAAACAACCACAACAACCGCAACTCCCCTGGTCTTCAGATGGGCTCCGAAGGTCCTCAGGTTGTCTGGTTTAAAAGTCCGTCTGTCCTCGGATTTGACAGGGGGGGACAAAGAAACGACTTTGAAGCAAGGTTGACGGCTGCTATATAAAGAGATTATTTCCACCTGTCCCTGTCAATTTCAATCAGGGCCTCAGAGGTGCTTAGTTCAGGCCGGACTGACGGTTTGCAGCTTTAGATATTCTCAGCTTCTCTGTTGGGGGTAAAGTGACTCTGAAACCATCCAACTCGTTGTCCAAGTAGGGCACCCTACGCCGGGGGTGTCAAACTCAAGGCCCAGGAGCCAGATCCAGCCTTAGATCCAGCCTGCAGAGCCACCCTGGAAGCAGTGAAGGAACGACTCGTGGCACAGTGCATCTGCCAGAGAAAATGGAGTTCGCAAGGGCCGCGTGCTGAAAACGGAGCTCGGGAGCCTGTTTTAACTGGCAGAGCATTTAACCCACCACAGGTGCTCCCCGACATGAGTGAGTTCATGCTGGTGATGCCCCCTGGCGATGCCCCCCCCCCCGCCCTAGAGGTCAAACACAACCCTCAATGAAATTGAGTTTGACAGTGATGGCTAACCTTTTTGGGCTCCTGTGCCAAAAATTGTGTGCGCGCTGGCGCTCACGTGCCAGCACCCAGAAGGCAATGCACACCCCACCCACACCCCCTGCACACGTGTGTGCAATCTTGTCTCTGGGAGGCTGAAAAAGGCCTCAAACCAGGCCTCACAGCTGATTTTCGGCTGGTTTGAGGCCTTTTTCGGCCTCCCAGAGGCGTGAAAAGAGCCCCTGCAGGGCGAATAGGCCCATTTCATCACTTCCGGTATTACAGGAAGTGACAAAATGGGCCTATTCAGCCTGCATTTTTCAAGCCTCTGGGAGGCCGAAAAAGGTCTCAAACCAGCCAAAAATCAGCTGTGAGGCACGCGCATGCGCGGTGAGGTAAGTTTGCCTGTGGCTCGCGTGCTGGCACAAATGGCTCTGTGTGCCACCTGTGGCACGCATGCCATAGGTTCGCCATCACGGCCCTAGGCCGTTTTAGACAATGGCTCCCCAGTCTCTTCTGAAAAACCTCCAGCGATGGAGTGCCTACAACTTCTGGAGGCAAGTTGTTCCACTGGTTAACTCTCCTAACTAAAGTCATTCTAAAGGCGCCAGTCCTCTGGAATTGGATCGTTTTAGAGATAGCCAAGAGCTCTTTGGCCAAATGGAAAATGCCAGGCTGGAATAGAGGAGAGTTGATAAACCCTGAAGAACACCAAGGAGAAGACAACCTCAATTGGTGGAGAGATGACCAACCAACACCAACATAAGAGCCAAAGAGCGTGTCATTCTTTTGGCTCAGGGCTAGAGTGTTTTTTTGCCTATCCCACATCCTACGAAGAACAGAGGATTTGACCGGATGCCAAGTGCAAATAGTGCTGGGGTACGAGCAGTCGTACGGCTGGAAAAAGTGTGCAGGGCAGGGTTGGAAAAAAAAGAAAAAGAAGGAAGGAATTTTGAAAGGTAGGAAAGAAACCATGTTCACAGCAATGTTGCCTGAAAGCCCTTCCGTCTGAAAGCAGCTTCAGTTTTGGAAAGGAATCAATGCACAGAGAGGTTTTGAAGAGTGGAATTTCTATCAGCGTTTAGGATTACTAGCCTATAATTAGGACTGCCACATCTAGGGTGTAAATAACCAGATTACTACTAATTGACAGCAAAGGTAATTTTCTCTCTCTCTTTCTCCCTCCCTCCTTCCTTTCCCCTCTCTCTTTCTCTCTCCCTCCCTTTCTCCCTCCCTCTTTCACTTTCTTTTTCTTTCTCTTTCCCTCCCTCCCTTCCCTCTTTCTCTCTCTCTCTCTCTCCCAGAGATGGTATTCAGGCGGTTTGGACCGGTTCTGGTGTACCGGTTGCAGAAATTTTGAGTAGTTTGGAGAACCGGCAAATACCACCTCTGGCTGGGCTTGCCCACTTGCCCCCGCTTGTAGGTCTCCTATATTCCCTTGATTTTTAGCTGTCAGAATCTATAGGGAAAAAAAATTGAAATCCACCACTGCTCTGTCCCTCCCTCCCTCTCTTTCTTTTTCTCTCTTCCCCTACCGCTTCTCCCTCCCTCCCTCCCTCTCTCTCTTCCAGTCATCCATAAACTGGAATTGTAATGAGCTCTTCTCTCATGTCTAAATGCAATTATCTGGGAAGAGTAAAGTGGACTGCCTGTTCAAGGCACTTGCAAGTAGCACAGAATTTTCAATTATTTAATAATAATAATAATAATAATAATAATAATAATAATAATAATAATAATAATAACAACAACAACTACTACTACTACTACAAATAACAACGCCAGTTGAGTTCCACTTCTGCATTCATGGAGTCTTCATGAAATTGGAAATTATTTGTCTTTTTTGCATTTTGGGTGTGTTTTCAGTGTTCAGTGTAGCTGATGGTCTCCCATTCAAGTGCTAACTGGGGCCAATCCTGCTTCGCTTTTTTGAGGCCAAGTCAGACCAACTAAACACTGCCCTCTGGTGGACATTCCACAAAAAAGGAATCCGTTTTTCTCAACTTTGGCAAATTTAAGACCTGAGGACTTCAACAGCACTAGCATTTAGATTTATAAACTGCTTTACAGTGCTTTACAGCCCTCTCTAAGCAGTTTACAGAGTCAGCCTCTTGCCCCCAACAATCTGACTCCTCATTTTACTGACCTCGGAAGGATGGAAGGCTGAGTCAACCTTGAGCCTGGGGAGATTTGAACTGCCGAATTGCAGGCAGCCAGCAGTCAGCAGAAGTAGCCTGCAATACTACACTCTGACCACTGCGCCACCGTGACTCAAGTCCCAGAATTTCCCAGTCAGCAAGGAATCTCATTATGTAATTCCTGAATTCTTCTTTGAAGAGATATACAAGTCTAACCAAGGTCTATCTAATACAGGTTGCCCTCGACTTACAAAAATTCATTTAGTGACCATTCAAAGTTACGATATCACTGAAAAAAGTGACCCAACTAGGTAACATCATCCGTGCTAGGAGGAGTGGGGCTCTTGGTATTCTCCAAGAGAATAAGTTTTGGAGAACAAGTCAACCCCCTCTTCTCTGTGACAGCCCCTCAAGATAGGTGCCATATCCCTCCCAATCTTTTTTTCAATAGACTGGGCATGCTTAGTTCCCTCAACAGTTCATGGTTGAGAACATTTAGTTGGATGGTTGGAGAATATTTCAGTTCAACAATGAGAAAAAGCTTTCTCAACAATGAACTATAGTCACAGCAATCCAAAGGAATAAAGATTTGGGTGGTAGATTTATGGCACATTAAAAAAAAACACATTAAAAATGTGGCACATTAAAAAACAAACAGGATTATATTCCAGCAGGAAAAACAACTAGATCTTGTTTTGGAGTAGTCATATTTCTGATGTATATTTAGATCTCCCATTGCTCAAAATTGCATGAAGTATTAATACTGCTTGATAAATTCTTAGTAGGACCCTGTCCGGAACCCTGCATCCAGTTTTGGTCACCCCATTACAAAAAGATGTTGAGACTTGGGAAAAAATGCAGACAAGAGCAACTAAGGCAATTAAAGGCCTGGAGACCAAAACATATGAAGAACGGTTGCAGGATTTGGGTTTGGCCAGTCTAGAGAAAAGAAGGACTAGGAGTGACATGATAGCAGTATTTGAGGGGCTGCCACAAAGAAGAAGGGGGTCAAATTATTCTCCAAAGCACCCGAGGGCATGACAAGAAACAACAGATGGAAACTGATCAAGGAGAGAAGCAACCTGGAATTAAGGAGAAATTTCCCAACAGTGAGGACAATTAAACATTAGAAGACCTTGCCTCCAGAAGTTGTGGGTGATTCATCACTTGTCTGGAATGGTGTAGGATCTCTTGCTTGAGGGAAGGTGGTGGGCTGGATTAGAAGACATCCAAGGTCCCTTCCATCTGTATTCTGATTGATTGATTGATTGCTCCAAATCAAGGAATGAAGGAATGAAGCAAACCTCCCCAAAAAAGGAGACCAAAGGAGGAGACCAAAGATTTATCAGTGTGAGAAGCCATTTAGTAGATACTGTTAGGCAAATCTCTCTGCCTCACCTCAAGGCTACTTCAGATCTCACTTTTTCTAGAGATAGTGCAACTCTGAGACTTTTCCAGGTCATGCGGTCTCCTAGACAGAGCGGTTTTTGATGAGATTTTGGACAAAGTTTAACTATGGTGATAGTGATTACCTTGCCAAAGAGTAGCCATCCTTGGTTTAAAATTAACTGTGCCTGGGGTCAGATCCCTTTAGCTTCTTAAGATGGGATAAACTGGAAAAGGAGCTATAATTACCCCGACTCTTCGTTCCTTCCACGGCTCCTAAGAAATCCTCTTATTTTGTACCAGATGCAGCTTTTGCAAGTCTTGAAAAGGGAGCTTTTGCCCAGAATTACTAGAGTAACATTTAACTATCCATCTTAGATTTGGAAGCAAATTGAGAGCCTTATTATTCAACGGCACAACATTCAATAAAATTCATGGCCTTCTTCCTTGGCGTACCCTTGGCTTTCTTTCCCCTTACCCTGACCTTCTAATCTTGTTCAATCCCTTCCAATCCTCTTCAATATTAAAGAATTAATATTGAATGTTCCTGTTGCTCCATCATTGGAGGTTTGCAAAAAGAGATTGTGCAGCCATTTGTCCCAAATGGTCTCCTGCTTGGGCAGGGAATTGGACTAGAAGACCTTCAAGATCCCTTCCAACACTGTTATCCTCGTATGATGTTGATCGCCGTCTGAACGTTCTGTTGAAGATTTGAACCAGAAACTGGTTCTCTTCTCTTCTCTTCTCTTCTCTTCTCTTCTCTTCTCTTCCCTTCCCTTCCCTTCCCTTCCCTTCCCTTCCCTCTTCTCTCCTCTCCTCTCCTCTCCTCTCTTCTCTCTTCTTTTCTAATTCTCTTCTCTCTTCTCTTCTAATTCTCTTCTCTCTTCTCTTCTTTTCTCTCTTCTCTTCTAATTCCCTCCCCTTCCCTTCCCT